GGCCCCGCGCCGCCAGACCGCTGCAGTGCGGAGCCGGGCGGGGCTGGCGGTGAGACCGCGAGTAAGGAACCAGCCTGAGCCTCCTCCGTCCCAGGGACAGCTCGGAAGCGCAGGGTGGTGTCCCGAGCCCCTCTGAAACGGGACCTGTCCTGGGTGTCAAACATCAGCGCCAGGCAGGGTGCCGCGGGGCTGCTCAGAGGGTGCAGGCGAGCGCAGCGCTGCTGGGCGCAGGTAGGCTGCTTGTGGTGGCACCCAGGGGCCCAGCTCCCAGACCAGGAGCAGCCTAGCCACCCTCCTTAGCGGAGCTCTCTTGACAGGCCAAGGGCTATGGAGCAGGAGACTCCTTGCTCCCTGAAGGTTGACTGTGCTCTTCAAATGCCCCCTCACACCTGTCCTCACTCAGAAGCCCCAACACACCAAACTTTTTAGTTGATCTGACCCCCATTCAAACATACATGGCTCGATGATGATGATGATGATTAGGAAAAAACTTACCCGCTGGGCATGGTTATTGTCCACAGGGGTTTCTGCCCCTTTCTCTGAACCTGGTCACGGACTAGATTAGAGCTTCCCAAACTTCCTCAGCATGACCCTCACTCCCAACCCGCAGCCCCCTGTTCCCTCCAGGTGCCCCAGGGCCAGGGCCTGCAGATCCCTGCCCTCCTCAGCAGTGCCTGAGCCCCAGCTGTCACCCACAGGAGACCACCAGAGCAGAGCACAGAGCCCCAGAGATTCCCCATGTCTAAGCAGAGAACCCCAGCTTCCCTAACCCTGCCCCCCCCACCCCCTGCCTTACAGAGCCATGCCTTGGAGATTGTCTGTGGTGGATCTCTGTAAGAGGGGAAAGTCAGGCAGGTGCTTCTGAGGCCTGAGGTGCCGGATCCCATGTTGGAATTCCCAGGTGTACAGAATCGGGCCCCTCAAGCCCCAGGAGCACCCTCAGGAGCACAGGCAGGTCCAGGCTGTCCATGCTCATGTCATAAAGCAAACAGACATACGCCACAAGAAAGTGACAAAAACTATTACCACCTTTGTCATTGCCGCACATTTGGGGCATTTGTGGCACAATAAGAAGTATGGATGTCTGTTGGCTAGGCTGTTGTGCTGTCGTAAAAATGTTTATGGCAGCACAGGACAACATCTGTTTCTACCCTTAGTGTCTGCCTGCTAGATACAACAAAGTTGCACTGCTTTTGTGAAGAGGACAGGCCACCATTAAGATAAGGAACTTCTCCAAAGAACCAACCCAGTGAACTTGCATAACCCATGCTACAAACATCACCTGCCCAACAGCACAACTGAAATTGTCCTTTCCCTTTTTTCTTAAAAAGAACTGTTTTGTGATTCCATACTTTTAATAGTAACATACAAGCTAGCTCGTAGTAGTTACAACTTTCAGCTAATTCAGTACAAGACACCATTGAATAGGTTGCTTAAATAGACAACTACTGATACTATACCACACAGAAAATAAAGCCAGATGATGGCTGAAGGGGGTTCCCATTTGTATTCTGCACAATTACCCTCTTTACACCATATATTTCATCAACCTCCTTTTTGCAATTCTCAATCTTGTTTTTCACATCTCCTGAACTTTTTTGTGTAGCCATTTCTTGTCGGGAAATGATTTTTGCTTCCTGATACTTGCAGGAAGATCATGATCCTTGCTTACTTTATGGTCCAGCTGTGAGGAGTGAAACTGCTGTTGTAGTTGTAACAGGTTATCAATGCAAAGGAGGCTGAAAGCTGCCATCTTAGATGGCATGCACTGCTGGACACCATCTTAAGCTCAGCAACAACCAGCATGCCACTATTATCAGTGTGTATGCCCCAACATTTAATGCTGACAGTGATGTCAAAGAACAACCAGCATGCCACTATTATCAGCGTGTATGCCCTGACACTTAATGCTGCCAATGATGTCAAAGAACAATTCTACTCTGACCTTGGCAATGCCCTGACTAATATTCCCAAGGAGGACAAAATCATTCTCCTTGGTGACTTCAACACCAGACTTGGGTATGACCTGGTACTCTGGAGTGGCACCACTGGGAAGGAAGAAGTACAGAAAATCAACTCCAACAACATCCTTCTTTTGAGCAATATGCGCAGAGCACAATCTTGTCATTATGAATGGCATCTTCAGACAGAGTGACAAATACAATACTACCTGGAGACACGTTCACTCTCAGCACTGGCACCCCCTTGATTATGTTATTGTTAGAACGCACAATTGAAGGGATGTCATCGCATGAGCCATGCAAGGAACTGATGATTGTTGGACTTATCATTGCCTTGTCAAGATCCATTATAAATATTTGGCTTGCTTCAAAACACCAATTTGAAACAGATGTGAAAGCTACAGATCTGAAATATGAATGACCTACCATCATCATCTGAAGAGCCTGGAGAGATATCACCAATGATGGCTCCAGAAATCCTCCACATCAGATAGGAAGATCAGCCACAAAACCAACATCCTTGCTGAAGCCCGTGTTAATGCACTGAGTCAGTGATCCCCAAGCACCAACTTTGCTGGACTGGCCATTGTGTGTGGATGCCCAACTCTCCACTCTCAAAATGAATGCTCTGCTCCCAACTTAGTTGTGGCCTAAGATCTCACAGCAGCCAGAGGAAATGCTACAGGGACATACTGTAGAAA